AGCATCATTGTTGAATCCGCCAAGGAATGGGATTGGCCCCTTCAACATAATGATGAAAGTGTAAAAGTCAGTGAGGATGATAAAAGTTTCCGAGTTGAGTTGGATGCGCAGTTCTTCGCGCCAAAAGAAATTTCGGTAATTCTTTCTGCTATGCAGATATTCTTTACATTACAAATTCTTCTCAAATGCTCAATGACGTACGCCGGACTTTAGGTCAAAACAATTGGAGACCAAATTCAAATCCAGATGGATCATGAAGCGCGAGGTAACGATAAGACGAATGTGAGCAGAAGCATTACGAGGTATGTATCTCATGAATTGAATGATGGCAGAAAGTTTACGTCAAAGCAGTTTCGGATAGGAATTTCGAAGAAAAACCTTGAAAATTGGATTCATACATGTATAGGCATTTCTGATAACATAAATCCAATGCTTAAACTCTAAGCTTATATTATTTTAACTATGGCATAAAGATAAGTCTGAATTAATTGAAACTTCAAAGTGAAAAGTATTGCTTTCTCTTGCTTATTTGGATCAGTTAGGATAATCGCTACTCTTGCGTAGCACTGATTGTGCCATGTTCGAGCCAGAGATAGATTGGTTTGACTAGTCCCAAATATCTATATTTAAGAGCTCTTCAAAGCAGACACCTTCGGCGCTGTATTTCAATTTATAGGTAAACGCTCAAACAAGAAAAGTTGCATTATAATTTCGAACACGCTCTCCTTAGAAGCTCAAGCTCCTGGTGCCCAGATTTAGGAATTTTTCACTACTATACACTACATTACAAAGTATTTCTAGATTGAGTTTTTCGGATAAAAAAACCACAAAAGCCTAAGTTACTTCTGAAATATTGCGATTTGTTGAATTCGGTAGATTTTGAAACTTCACTGCCTCTAAAACTGATTAAATGTGCTAGTTATTTTTTAGCCCTCATCCGGTTTACGAGTAATTTTTTTAGGAGCTACCAACTTCCCCACAATGTCGATATGAAATCAATTAAGAGCAACCTTGACGAAAAAGGCGTTCTTCACATCAGCGCACAGAAGCATTAGAACAAAGAGCTTCTGCCTACATCGATCCGATGTGTATACAGTCATCGATTTGATCATCATGAATTTTTAAAGACATGTGAAAATGATGTTTCCTTCTTTCCTACCCCTCTTACTTTTTCATTGCCACCATTCGTGGGAGTCAAATGTAACTTATATGTAAGTAATCTATTGCTCACATCTAGTGCTCTGTATTTGTAATGCCATTTCATAACTTGTAAGCCTGCAAATGGATTAATA